AATGACAAACTACAAACACTACTCTACACTGCCCAAAACTCACGTTTGAATCATCAGTGGCAAATCCTTTAAATGAAAAAGTACTTACAGACTGTGAGTCCGAACTGCCGGCATTGTAGTCTACTCTTCCAGGATCAGTTCTGGAACAGTGTTGTAAATACAACTTAACTACTGATTTGTAGTCGTGTCCTCTTTTGGAAGACCAAACAAAGTAGTTTTGCTTTCACAACGAAACACAGGGCGGCCTAGCGTAAGCTGAGGTGCGGGCTTGAGAACAGCGCAGCCGGCGGATTACATGTGACGGGTCTGGGCTGGACTCGGCTTCGTCCACGGTGAAAGCCGATCCGGTGATCCACAGCACTAAGTTGATGTATTTTCTCAGCGACCAGCACAGATCAGCTCCAGGCATGACGAAGCGGATATCGTCCTCTTTTGGAAGACCAAACAAAGTAGTTTCGCTTTCACAACGAAACACACAGCTCTTCACGACATGGCGACGGCAACAATACTACAGCGAGAATAAAAGTTACGCCTTCTTTCTTTGCGTGAACATTTGGGTGGCGTTATGCAAATCTTCCCACATAGTGACGTAGATATGTGGGGGCGTGTTAGAACGAGCCGTTTTAGGTAGGCGTGGTTAACTTAACTTTTATAAAGGATATCTCTTTGGATTTTAGACTTTAGTCAACTTTACAGATCTTCTTTATGCACCAAGAGCTTGTAGCACTCCAAAGAGAAAGGAAAAATTTAAAATCACATCATATAACCCCTTTAAAAAAAACCTTACACTCACTTCTTCTGTAGGTGAAGCTGGATCACAAATGATTTGTGTGAAGATAGACGCATTTAGGTGGATCGGGGGCACATTCCCTTCAGAAACAAATGTAATCCTCTGTGTCTTCAGCGGCTCAGATTTCGGGAGTAAATGACAACTGCTATGTTCATTATTACATCCAATAACAAAACACCTAAATCGCTATGGAGACATTCACTGCCGGAGTAGATGTAGACAGGAAACAATGGCAGACCGATGACAGCTCATTCAGGGCGGGTCTAAGGTAAGATGCCAGTCTAGTCTGTGCTGAAACGCTACTGTCAATCAAACAAATGTGGGAGGGCCGGGTCTGTGTGAGGACACAAAGACAGGCATCGGAGATCGGCTCGATTTGAGAAAGGGCAAATGATTTAACGAGATAAAAAAAAAAAAAAACACTGGGTGGATCTTTATCATTATAGGGTGGTTGTGTACACGCACTTCCAACACACATTTCAGTTCAAACAGCTTGTAAAAGTGCATGTCACATTTCCGATGACCCCTTTAAAGTTGCATGGTCCTTCAGAAATCATTCTTATGATGATGATTTAGTGTTCATTTAGAGTTCATTTTTTCATTATTATTATCAGTGTTGGAAACAGTTGCTTAATATATTTGTGGAAACCATGATAAGTTTTTTTTTCAGGATTCTTTGATTAATAGAAAGTTCTATAACATTTTAACAACATTTATTTGAAATGTTGTTTTGTAATAATGTAAAAGTGTCGTTTACTGTCAAAAGACTTGATCAACTTGATGCATCCTTGCTGAATTCAAGTATTAATGTATAGATGTAGTTATATGTGTAGTTGCAGTGTGTATACACTGCAAACAATTTTGTATAGAATGTATTATTTTACCATTTGATTTAGGAGTGTTCCTTTGTCAGTGGATTCGATTCACAGAGAAGGCATGACCTCATAAATGTATACTTTAAATACAACCTAATATTTGCTTTGGATAAAAGCATCTGTCAAACGTAAAATGTCCAAAAAATAAGGTTCTAACCTTATTAACTTCCAGTACTTCTCTTCTCTCTTCGCTGGCTGCACGCATTTGATTGGCCATTCGGTCATCCGGTTTAGAACTGTCATCCTCTACATAGGGGATAAGTTGCTGAAAAACAAAAGACAGAATAAAATTACCACAGTGACTTTTTGATTACTTCAATTACTGTTATGCACTCGTTTTTGTTTGGCACTGATGGCACTACAGAAACATACTCCGTTCCAAGCCTTTCACTACCAACTATCCGGAGGTGTGATGTCAAAAACAGCAGCCAGGAAAAATATAGAGCCCATTTCACACTTTAAAAAAAGAATCAGGCTCTGGTAAAAGTCTACTAAATGTTGTTGTTTTTTATTGGTCTTTTAAAGCAACTGCATGTAAGAGTATTTACCTTGAAACATCAGTTTCATAATCATTCTGATGGTACACTGACTTCTAATAAGTCGAACGGCTTCTGTTTCTTTCCTACACTCCTTCCCAAACAGCTGTTGTGGGAGTATGCAAGTTTGGTGAGTGGGTACAAAATTCAGTGAAAAAAGCACAGATTGCTTTATGGCAGCAACAAATGCACACGTACAGCTAGCCACTGTAATTACCACAGTGACATACATTCATCGGCCACGTTATTAGGTACACCTGTTCAACTATCGCATGACAGCAACTCAATGCATTTAGGCACACAGATATAGTCAAGACAAGCTGAAGTCCAAACCGAGCATGTTGGTGCCAGATAGGCTCATCGGAGTATTTAAAAAACGGCTGATCTCCTGAGATTTTTACATACAACTCTACATCTCTAGGGTTTACAGAGAATGGTCCAAAAAAATTAAAAAAAATAAATAAAAAAAAAAGGAAACCATCTAGTAAGCAGCAGTTCTGTGGGCGAAAATTCCAGAGGTCAGAAGAGACTGGCCAGACTTGTTTGAGCTGATAGAAAGGCAACCGTAACGCAACTAACCATTCATTACAACCGAGGTATGCAGAGGAGCATCTCTGAATGCACAACACGTTGAACATTGAAGTAGACGGGCTACAGCAGCAGAAGACCACCCTGGGTGCCACTCCTGTCAGCGAAGTCAACTTTTAGCATTCATTCATTTACTTATTTTTCACTTTTTCTATCCTTACAATCCTATTATTACAGGGACAGTCCCTCTGGAAAACCCTAAGGTTAAGTGCCCCCCTTTATGAGGTTTAAACCTGCAACCTTCAGGACACAAACCTAGATATTCAATCACCGAGTTACCACAAATCACAAGTCATTGCTGCAAGGGTTCAACAATCATACCATTTATTTTTAATGCTCAACAGTAGATGAATGAGGCACCTTTCAAATCTCACCTGTATAAATCAGGGTCACTATACACAAGATACGAGTATTTGGTTATTTACTTGCCACGAGCAATCTGATGCCTTCCTGAAGAAAAACATCTTGGATTAAAAATGAATGAAAACAGTCTGGTGTCGGTAAAAGTTAAATGTTTTTTTAAAAGTCTGCATTTATTTGATCAAAATACAGTAAAGCTGTAATACTGTAAATTATTATGATTTAAAATTGTTTTTATTCTATTTGTTATTTTCTATTTTCAGCAGCCATTCCTCCATTACTGATTTGGTGCACAATAAACTTTAATTATTATTATAAATGCAATGTAATATTTTTATGGAAACTCTGATACCTTTTTTTCTCAGAATTCAAGGAAGGGAAAGTAAAAGAAAAAAAAAAAAGCATTTATTTGAAATAGAAATCCTTTGTAACAATGTCAAATCTTTACTGTCACTTTTGATCAATTTAATGCATCCTTGCCGAAAAGTATTCATTTCTTTAAAAAAAATCAATACTACTGATCCCAAATTTGAAACAGTAGTGCAAGTCTGCCTTTCTCCTTTATTATTATTTTTTTAGTCAGTCAAAGTTTAACACAAAAACAGCAGTGCAAAGGTATCCAATGAACAGCTTAAAAGATCGCTGCAACACTCACTTCAAATGTAGTGGAGTAAAGAGTACAGATACTCATTCAAAAATGTAGTGAAATAAAGAGTAAAAGTTGCTAATATCTTTTAAACTCAGTACAAATACAAAGTACCCAAAAAGATACTCAAGTACAGTAACTAAGTACATTTACTCCAATGCTTTACACCTCTGCACCTGTGGATGGATGCCTTTGAGGGGATGAATGTACCTGCATGTTTCTCAGCAGCTGAAAGATCTCCATGGTTCGTAAGACTATGTCCTGCACCGTCTCCTGTCCGATCCGACATAGCGAGGCTGTATTCACATCCCGAGCTGCCTGAGCCTGTTGCCCAGGGAACTGGGCCAGAGGAGGGGTTGTCATGGGGACAGCGGGATGTGGGCACTGATGCCTGGGTGGCTATTCAGTGGGACTTTGTGGCATGTCCATTAACAATATATATTCATTTCTGTATAAGAGAGAGAAAGAGAGTATTGACATGTTACACCTAAAACATATCAACATAAACCATGCATCACATTTTAGCACTATCTAATCAAACTATAAACATTAAATAAAAACAATAACCTGCAAAAGCAAGTGAAAACACATAATCATAGTCGTAACAGCATAAACATTTTTTAGATACAACAAAGCATATCTCTACATTGAGCTACTATCATCAAAGCTTGAATGTCTAACGACAATGGACAAGCAAAACCCTAACGTGCCATAATCATAACGTGATATGTGACAGAAACACAGAAAATGTTATTCGTCTAAATGTATGCAACAGTAACAGCGTTTAAATACCTTTTTCACTTTGTTAGTGTTGTTGTCAAGACGTCATTTCTTCCCGTGCTGTGTTCTCGGTCAGCCATCGCGAGATTTCACGAGAAGTCACCGTGTACCACAAATGCAAGTGTGTGGCTCAAGCCTCAGTGCTTAGCAAAGAAAGATTTTTGATGGAAACAGAAGGTTTCTTTTTTTTTTTTTTCAAACAAACATCGTACTGAAATTTTGTTTTTAATACAAACAGCTATTCTACGAGCTTACATGTGTGATGTAAATGCGAGTACGCTTTTTAGATGAAGGTGCAGGGCGCCATCTAGCGTTCAATCATATTTTATAGCCTAGCCCGGTGGTGCCCAACCCTGTTCCCGGAGATCTACCTTCCCTAAATTCAGCTCCAACCCTGATCAAACACGGCTTAACCAGCTAATTAAGATTTTCAGGAGCACTTGATAATTACAGGCAGGTGTGCTGAAGCAGGGTTGGAACTGAACTCTGCAAGTAGGTAGATCTCCAGGAACAGAGTTGAGCACCACTGGCCTAGCCTATACATTATTGCATTTTTATGTCTTGAGATTATGCTTGCCACATTTAAAAATCCCAGTATATCTTAAAAATGGCCATCTGCTATCTATACTCCTGCAATAACATTTGCATTAAATAAAACTGTGAAGCTGTATGTGTCTGTTTACATCTAAAGAAACTGTCAGTGCATTATTGGAAATTAAAAGACTAAAGTTGCATAATGATCTCAGATCATTGATTCAGGACAAAGAAAACAAAGATAGACCTTCATACAGAATCAAGTTGTGTGATTTTAAACAACAACTGAAAAAGAATCAATGAGAACTTTTAACATCAGTCTCCCTGTGATCAGTAACATCGATTTCACCTGAGTTTTGTAGACCTGCCCTTTTGCTTACATCTATTCATACGCCGAATAATCCTACATATCCTTTTTCGATATCAAAGAAGATGATTCCATATAATTTAAGGTAATTCAGGGTCTGTGGCTTTCAGAGATGCAGGTCTTTCATTGTAAACATGAGTGATCTTGTTACTCTCAGCAGAGAATATGCACTTACACACAACAGTCTGCTGTTCACTCTTTTTATTCATAGTGTGTAAAGCCAGGCAGGGACTCCCACTTCAAAAGGACTTTTCTCTGTATATTTTGATTATTGCTTGGCTTGATTTTCTATCCTCATCCAGTGGACTTATATAAGAGGATTAGAACATGGATGAGCAGGAGGAACAAAGAGATACAGTATTTCACTTAAAAGAGAATGAAAACAAGAGAGCGAGAGATAGCGATGGCACAAATTAAGCTGTGTGTTCTTTTGATCGGCATTCCTTTGAATAATACATTCAACAAAGGAATTAAAAGACGGACATTTGTGTAGAAACCTGTTCTAGATTTGATTTAAATCTCTATCCATCAAGTTAATGATCACCAAGTTACATCAAAACACGCATACAGAAAAGTTTTTTGACTGTGGACAAAGTTGGATTGTAACGCAATCATCAGTTTAATTATGAGTAATACAAACAGACCAAAGATGCTTCTCTAAGGCTTTGCTAGGCAAATAAGCCAAACTGTACAGTACCAACAGATATAAACATACTTTTCAATTTTAATATTTACTTTTGAATAGAATATTTTTCATTGAATACGAATAGAAATATGCATAACACTATACAATAAGTCCTATTTGATTAACATGAACTAACAATGAAAAACAGTTCATGTTAATTCAACTTCCTAATACATTATTAAAATCAATGGTTATATCTGTTAATACTATTTAATAGACCTAAGCTAACATTAATTTACATTTACATTAATAGCAGACGGTTTTATCCAAAGCGACTTACAAATTAGGACAATGGAAGCAATCAAAACCAACAAAAGAGCAACGATACGCAAGTGCTATAACAAGTCTCAGCCTAACGCAGCACACGAAGCAAGGTCTTTTTTTTATTATATAATAAATAAAAAGAAAACAGATAGAATAGAGAAAGAATAAAAAAGCTAGTGTTAGTTTTTTTTTAAAACCAGCAGTTAGTAACTGAATAGAGTGCAAGTCTAAAAGGGGCAAGTATTTTTTATTTTAAAGAATAGAATTAGAATAGAGAGTTCTAGAGTTAGAGGGTCAAACTAAGATGGATGAGATGTGTTTTTAGCCGATTCTTGAAGATGGCTAAGGATTCAGCTGCACGGGCTGAGTTGGGCAGGTCATTCCACCAGGAGGGAACATTTAATGTAAGAGTCTGTGAAAGTGATTTTGTGCCTCTTTGGGATGGCACAATAAAGCGCCGTTCACTTGCAGAACGCATGGCTTCTAGAGGGCACATAAGTCTGAAGTAATGAATTTAGGTAAAGGGCTGCAGAGTCAGTGGTGGTTTTGTAGGCAAACATTAATGCCTTGAATTTTATGCCAGCAGCTGTTGCTAGCAGTGTTGGGAAGGTTACTTTGGAAATGTAATAGGTTACAGATTACAAATTACCTTACTTAAAATGTAATAAGTAGTGTAACTTTTCAATTACTTTATTAAAGTAATGTAACTGATTACATTTGATTACTTTTCTAAATTTCTAATGTTTTAAACTGTTAATTAATTTTCAAACATAAACCAGGCAGGGTTAACCTTACAGTAGTACTCAACAGTCAACACTGATTCCTGTCAGACTTTCGAAATCCTTCATCACTTGAATTAAGATTATATTTTAATTTTATCCCCTTGACTGTCACCGTCCCACCTGTGGGATGCTTGGCGCTCTTTTTGGTTGTTGTCCTTTATCTCTATCAAATCTTTTAGTAATCATCATAAATTATATATCATTTGAAAGCTTAGAAGCCCAAGTTTCTTCCTGTGAAAACCATTTTGAAATCGGACATTGCGTTACCATGGAAATGGTAGCCTACTTTAAAATCTTTTGGCGGTCTCCTCCCCCTTAGTGGGCAGTGTCAAATGTCATATTACAAAATGAATTACGGTCTTTTAGAATCCAACTTTTTTAGAATCTTGACAAAAACATCTGAGTCTCAGGTTATTTTGAGACAGAAGTAATATTGACAGATAAATGTTGACATTTGTGACAGAAAAATGCATTTTAAAAATTCAATGGAGCTTGGATGGCACCCGGTGGCTGTTTGTGGTATAATGCCCTAAATAAAATCTCACAAGAACCTCAATTTTTTTCATATAAACTATAAATTTGGAACATAACTTATTTAGACACGAGGCTTTAATTTTATACCAATTTTACAGTAAAACCTGTTATGTAAAATATTTATTATGTATAAAATATAATAAAATTAATATAGTGCATTTTATTTACAGTAAATTTAAACTTCTATAACTTTTTGATACCAACCGTAGGTCTGTATTCCAAACTGTTCATAAATTGCAACAATTTAAGTTTGGATAGTGCACTTTCGCACCTATTTAAAAAAATGGGAGGTGACGGTTAAGGGGTTAAAGGAGACATTGGATGCAAAATTCACTTTTACATGGTGTTTGCATAAATGTTTGCATCTTAGCCGTGTGTACACCACCCTACAATGATAAAAATCCATTCACTCTTTCTTTTTAATCGCTCAAAAACCTAAAGTCTCAATCATCCAGCCATTTTGATTTTCTGAGCAGTATGATGTCATATTTGCTCAGGCCCCGCCCACAACCACTGAAGTACTGTCTAGTATTAGCATAGTTTCACCCTCAGCTAGTTGTAGGATGTCCATCATTCTCTCCGCGGATGAACAGCTGTAGCCAGGGTACGAACTAGGAGGGAACTAGCGGGAGCTCGGCTCCCCTTAATGAGACATGGGCTCCCCTGAAAACGTGATTTGTGAAATTTTGGGGGGTCTCAAAAAATATTGACAATATGTTATTTTGAAGTGCAATTTCAGTTTTGCGTAGTGTGATCATCGTGGATTATTATGTGTAAAATTGCAAAAATATCATTAATTCATGCATGACGGCGATTTAAACCTAATTCCCTTCAATAAAGATAACTATACATGCTATTCTTGTCATGAGCATCAAGGTGTGGGGGCGCTGCGGTGCAAATTCCACTCATGTTTAGTACATGTTAAAGGGGTCATATGATGCTTTTTTAAAGATCATTATTTTGTGTATTTGGTGCAACAGAATATGTTGACATGCTTTAATGTTCAAAAAACACATTATTTTTCAAATACTGTACATTATTGTAGGTCCTCTATGCCCTGCATCTCTCAAACGCTTCATTTTCTACAAAGTCCCTCCTTCCGACAAGCGCGGTCTGCTCTGATTGGCCAGCTGACCCAGTGCATTGTGATTGGCCGAACACCGCAAGCACTGGTCGGAAATGTAACGCCCCTTTCCATAATAGCAAGCTTCAGTCTTCAAAATAAATGCAAAGACAGAGCCCGAAAGGGGAACACAGTTGCGTGATAGACACAGTGATGAAGCTGGTATGTGTTTGCAGTACACAAGCCACGGTTAAGACAGCTGACTCCACTGTGATGTGACCCCCCCCCACCCCCCTCTCTCGCTCTTTCTCGCTCTCACACACACACGATGCGCAAAACTCCGCATTTGAACAGTCAATAGCAAATACTTAAACTAATAACAAAACAGTAGCTGATTCAGAAGCGCCAGATTGTCATAGCAAAGTCAGAATTACCTCCTCTCCTAGGTTCACGAAACGGTCGTCCATAACATGCATTGCTGTTCTGTTGTAAGTAATCTCAAATATTCCTAAATGCATCTACTTTCGGAAGGTCAAATAAAGTGCTTTTGCTTTCGCCTAGAAACACACAGCGTCTCCCTGACATGCTGCTTCAACACTAACTGAAACCACGCCTTCTTTCTTTGCGTGAACATTTGGGTGGCATTATGCTAATATTTCCACATAGTGAGGTAGATATGTGGGGGCGTGTTAGAACGAGCCGTTTTAGGGGGGCATGGCAGAGTCTTAACTTT